GGGCTCTTTGGGAGCTTAGTGGATTCCCTGCAGCCTAGCATGAGAGGGGTACACAGATACTGGATAGACTTTCCTGTCCACGGGGCTTCCTGTCCACATCCCTGTTGTCTCCACAGCAGGTAGCTGGCTATATAGGCCACTAATAGAAGCCCTTGGAATAATGTCAACCCTAACAAGAAAGGAGAGGACTGGCTCCCGGTTTGTCTGCTTGGAGGGGGGTCATGTTGGTCGATTTAATTTAAAAACCTTGCCAGGAAAAAAAAATAGCAAAACAAAAAACAAAACCAGCCCCCAACGCATTTAGGAAAGAATGGCAGACTTTTCTCCAGAGTTTCACATTCTGAAGTATTCCAAAGTATGATGGAGATAGAGACCCAAAGGGACCCAAAATAGGCTTGTCCCCTCCCCCCTTGCATTCTCGGTTTACCACTGGTGCCCCTCAGGCAATATTGGGAATCAGCATCTAGTGCAGATGGCTGGTCCTTTCTAGCTAAACTGGGAGCTCTCTCTCTAAAGAAAGGCCTGTGGTGCTTCAATCACAGATAGATAAGGCTTTTTAAGCCAGGCTAGTGCATCAGCTTTGCTGTTTATTGGGTTCTGTGACGATGCACGGTCAAGGCAAGTCAGATATTTGTCATCTCGGTCTCGAATAAATACAGTGAGAGGTATATACTTTATATTCAGGTGTACCTTATACACAGGCATAAAGTTGCAGACTGTGTCACTAATAGAGGTCATAAAAGGCGTCTCAAACCAATACATGCCAGTTGGACAATGTTGTCTAAAATATCTTAGCTTTGATTTTTTTTTGTTTGTTTGTTTCAGCCAGTGTTGAAAGAAAGACTGGAAAATTGTTACTATGTGCCTATGTCCGATGCTACAACATTTATTTTTTCTGGAAATGCTCTTAAGTGAATTCTGATTAGAATCATTCTCCCCCCAAAACTATCCTAATTCTAGATTGTCAGAGAAGTATAAAAACAAAGTGAAAGGCCCTTCAGCTCAGAAACTACAGATATCAGTTGGGTAAATATTCAATAAGAAAATGAATCATCCTCAGCTGATCTTGTCTCCAAGTTGTTCAGGTTAGAGGAACATCTGCAAGTATGTTGTACTCGGTGGCCACGTAGCCATTCCCATTTGTTTATTTAGTCTGCGGGGGCTTTCATACTACAACAACAAAGCTGAGTAGTTGTGACAGAGACTGTATGGCCTGCAAAGCCTGAACTATTTACTGTCTGGCCCTTTACAGTAAATGTCTGCCAACCCCTGCCCTGGGTCATCTCATTCACTTTATAGATAAGCAATCTAAGGCCTGGCTGAAAAGCAGTGACTTTGTAGCACTTTGTATAGGGTTCATTCTATTACAGTTACTTTTATCTAATGCCTGTGGCTTCTGCTGGAAAGGACACAATCTTTTTCCCACACTGCTTTTCATTTAAGCACTTTGTTGAATTGCACTGGCTTGTCCAGAGCAACAGGGGCAGTCTGCAGTGGAGCCTGGGTTAAAACCCAGAAATACAGGAGCCCCTGCCTGGCTCAGTGGTTGAGCATCTGCCTTTGGCTCAGGTGGGATCGAGTCCCACATCGGGCTCCCCACAGGGAGCCTGCTTCACCCCCGGCCTATGTCTCTGCCTCTCTCTGTGTGTGTCTCTCATGTACAAATAAATAAAATCTTTATATATAAAAAAAAGAACAGAAATCCAGCTTCACGAGTGGTGAACCATCATGAGTGGTGAACTCATCACCAGTGGTGAGAACCATCAACAGGCTATGTAACTGGCTGAGTTAATGCTCTTCTCTGAGCCTCAGTTTCCTCATCTGCAAAATGGACGTTACAATCTATCCTTGGAGGGCTTTTATGAGAAATTGTTGAGATCCTGTGTGTATGGAATAGGCCCTCCATACGTAAAGATTCCTTGCCCACTCCCTTCTTTCTCTACACTGGAGCCCCTGAACTGTTAGGGTTTCCTGAGCAAACAGAACCAAATACTTATGCACCTCCTGCTAGACAAGACCCCTGGCTCACTTCTTTGGGAGCTCCAAAGATTGTTTCCCCATTCAGTGGCAATGATGGACGTGATACCCCAGCCACCCCCTCCATGCCTCACCACCTGGCTGGCCGGCAACAGAGAGGAAGAGAGCAAGAGGCCCAGAGCCTTTCCTGTTCCTGCTTCTCTCCAAAGGGAGCTGGCTCACACTGCTCTCCACTTCTTTTCCTGCTGCTCAGACTTCTCAAATGCCTGTAGCTCTGACCTCACCTCCCCAGCTTCCCTCCTTGGCCCCCCACCACTCTGTCCAGTCGTGCTCCGCTTCTCTCTGACTTCTTCACTTTGGAACACAGCTGATTGAAGAAGCTGCTGCCCTGGCCCCCTGCTCTCCTGGGGTGATGCTCAAAAAGGGGAACCATTCGTAGGGCAAGGTGTGAGTCAATATGTCAACATGAATGAGAGAGCAAGATATGTTCATTTTCATGATAAAGTAAACAGTGTACAGGGCTAAGCATGCACTCTCACACAAAGTGCAAAAACAAATGCTGACACGGTTTACAAGATCAGAGATTGGATTTCCAGAGAATTGTTGCATGACTTCCAAACCTAATGGCTTGCCCTCAGTCTGTCAGTGGGACAGGATAATTTATCTCCCTCTGACCAGGTCACAGGTGTTGGCCAGCCAAACACAGACATAAAGATACAAGCAAAGACAGGTCTCTCCCCCGCCCCTCACTGCTCTCCCTGGCTTTTAGAAACCTGAGGTGCTATCCAAATCCAGATGTCTTAAAAATCATTTCAAAATAGCTATAGTTCTTGTTATGTGGACTAATTTTTAGTGAGGGGTTGTTAGTGCTGGAAATTACTAACTATTGGTTCTTAATTTAATTTACTTTATTTTTTTAGAGATTTTATTTTTGAGCATCTCAACACCCAACGTGGGGCTCAAACTAACAACCCCAAGATCAGGAGTCCTGTGTTCCACCGACTGAGCCGGCCAGACACCCCTAGATTTTTTATTTGAAATAAATACATATTTACTTTTAAGGATAGCCAGTAATTCAACTTGTTATTGTTGTTGTTGTTGTTGTTGCTGTTTAATGCTGTTAATTAAAATTCATACTGGGTTTGTTTCAACAAATAAGAACAGAGTTGTGATTGGCACCCCTCTCACCGGTTGGAAAAGAACTGCTGCTAAGGCCCTAGAAGAGTCTCTTAAGTAGGTTACAGATTTTCCTTTGAAGTCATGATGATGCTTCACTTGCTTGACAAGCTTTGCTTTGATGGTCTAGCCCTCACTAAATGGAAAATTTGGAATTTTTAGAGTTTAAATAAAAACGGAATTACTGATAAGGACTGGGAGGCAAGTCAGAGCATTTTGAAAACCGCTGGCCTGCAGGGCATCAAGGCGTTAGATGCTGATTTTCACAGGGTAGAGCGTACCAGGCTTCATGGCCACTCTCAGCAAGGTGTGCTCTGAGGATGTCATTAGGAGGGAGGCCCTGTGTCTTCATACTCAATGATGTCATGCTCTGAGCCTTCCTTTCTTTTTTAAGCCTCTGGCTCCATGTAGCAGTAGCCTGATTGGAAATAGCACTGAATGGGGAGTTAGGATACTGGGTCCCAGTTACAGTCCTGATACCTGCTTGCTGTATAACCTTGAGTAGGACATGTCTCCTTTGGAGGCCATCTGCGAATATGGCAATTGGAGCTCAGTTGACCAGACCTGACAAATAACCACTGTGCAAAGCCAACCAGAATTAAACTCACTTGGACAATGATTGTTAGATAGAATCTTTTGGTGACTAGTTGGACTCTGTCATTTCTGCAAGAGATGGGAAGGGACTCATCCAAGGTCACACAGTTAGAGGCAGAGTCAGATTAGAACCTAGATTTCCTGACTCCTAGTCCTGTGCTCTCACCAGAATCCCACATTACCTCAAAAATCCTAAAAGAAGTATATTTCATCTCTCTTGTCTCCCAGACATGCTGCTGAATTTGGTTTCCATCCTACCCACTCATCAAAATTACTCTAGATTAAGTGGCTAAGTCCTTCCACTCTTTGCACACAAAATTCTGCTCATACCAGCAACTTCTTTGAAACTTGAAAAAGGCAGGCTGAGAGCCAACCTTTACCCAAATTCACCCTTTAGGAGCAGGAAAGAAACAGGGGTCTGTGTTCCCTAGGGTACCTCACTTTAGAGTCAAGGAACAAAAACTTTGAGATGAATTTTCAGAAATGACTACCCACTTTAAATTCATCTTCCAGGTAATTGAACCACACAATATAAACTCAAAAGGAAGGTCCCTCATGGGGGCAAAGAAATTCTTAAAAAATAATTCTGGAGCCAAGAGAAAGCCTCAGGGTCCTTGGAACTCTGGTGTCTGGCTTCCAACTTGACAAGAGAGCAGGCTCTGCACCCAAGGCTGGCTTGTCAATGGATGACTGGATCTGTTATCTTCTCCAATATATCAAAAACAGAAAGCCTCCCCCTTGTCAGACCCATCCAAGCCACTGGCTTCAACAAATCTGGAATGTGAACAAACAGGATTAAATGAAAGTGAAGGTGCTAGACAAACCCTAAACACCATGCACATGGAAGAGATTATCATTTTTCCCTGCCTGATATCTCCTTGGATATTCTCCAAAGCCCAGCTCAAATGTCATTTCCAAAGACCCAATCAGACCAACCCAGGTTCAAATCTTGGCTCCACTATCTATTTGCTGTGTGACCTTGAACAGTAGTTTAACTTCCTTAGGCCTCAGTTTCTTCCCCTGCCAATGGTGGATCATGATAATAACCATTGGGTGATTGGGAGCTGAGCCAAGGTCACTCTTGCAAAGTGCCTGGCAAAGAATAGGACTTTAAATGTTGAATGAATAGCAAAGGGAACCAGAGCACCTATCTCTTGAGGTCTGACCCAGCACTTTCCACTCTTCAGTCACTGGCTTCTCCTCAGTCTTTTGCCCCAAAGGGGCTACAGAAACTTGAGCCAGTCTGTTCTTACCTTGCTGAGGTCCCCTAGAGCCATGACCTTGGCCACTGGCCTCTTGCTGAGCTGCTCCTTCACCCAGATCTCGAGTTGCTTATTCCACTTCATGGTGAACACATAGAAAGCATAGGCCAGCAGCAACAGCAGGCTTTCCCACCAGGCAATGAGGCTGTCCAGGAAGAAGAGAATGAGCATCATCAGGTCAAGGATGTAGAAAGAGACGTCACGGAATAAGGGCCACCACGTGAGATTGAGGATCTCCCGGGAGAAGAGGGCACAGGTGCCGATGACAAAGAGGATGTTGAACACAGCGGAGCCCACGATGGTACCAATGCCCACGTTGCTGTGGGAGATGAAGACGCCAATGAGGGAGGTGAAGAGCTCAGGGGCAGAGCCTCCAGCAGCCATGAAGGTGGCCCCTGCCACATCATCAGAGATCTGTAGCTTATCTGTGATGACACCCAGGGCCGGGACAAAAAACTCGTCACATACGATGGCCAAGGCCACAAACACATACATCATGCCAAAGATGTGCAGGACCACCCAGCCCTGTCGCCTCTCCTCTATGCTGAACAAGTCTGGGGGGTACTCTGCCTTGGAGTGAAGGTCTGGCCAGCCAGGAGGAAGTGCTGAGGGACTGGAACTGGGTGCCTCTGGGATCACGGCTGTTGTCAGGCTGGGGGAGAGGGCAGTGGGCACAGCCGGGGCTGGTTCCACAACCACACAGTGATGGACCTGGATGGTTGGATTTGCCCTGACCTCAGAGGTTGATGAGGTCCTGGGTGCCATGGAAGCTTTCTTGGCCAGCCCCCAGAGGGTGGCAGAGGAAACTCCAACGGTGGATGTGCTGGTTCTAAACAAGGGATTACTAACACTCCAGGTAGCAGTAGAAGCTTTGGTTTCTTTTGGGCTACTGCCTGTTGTGGTTTCTATTGTCACATGTCCCTCAGAGATGACTGTGGTGTGCTCCAGGACCGTTCCCAGGGAAGTTGTCAGCTTGTTCTTTCCCACTAACATCCGGGGCTTGGTTGATCTGTTATTGTCCACTCTTCTGGTGGTAGTCAGGGTGTTCTTTTCCATCATACTCCTTGGAGAAGTCAAGATGTTTGTTTCTATGTCATTTATCAGGAAAGTTGGGGTGTTATTAATTATTCCCTTGAGGGTAGTTGGGGTGTTTTCCTCTACCATTCTCTTAGAGGGATTGGTCTCTAATATTTTAATGGTTGTCATAGTTTCACTGTCTTTCACTGTTGTTTTGGGGGTGATCCCATGACTCTTTGTCACTGTCATGAGTGTGGGTGGGACATAATTGCCTACTATTCTACTAAGTGGAGATGGGGTGTATTTCTTCACCTTTCCCCCGGCCTGAGTTGGGTGGTAGCTCTGTATTTCTCCCTTGGGTGGTGTTGTTGGGGTATAATTCTTTACCGTTGGCCTGCTTGAAGTTGGGGTGTAGTGATTCAGTACTCTACGGGGTGTGGTTGTGGTATCTTCCTTCCTTCTTTCTGTCTCTGCCTCTGCTGGACTGTAGTTATTCTTGGGTATTGTTGGAGTGATGTTGGCTGTTCTTCTGGATGGATTGGGGGTATTCTCCACTGTTGATTCACCCCTGCCCACTGTAGCTTGGGGCACCAGTGTGTCACCCTCCATTTCAGAGCTAGCTCTTGGAGGGTCACTGCTCACCATCATCATCTCATTGTTAGGGAGGTCACGGCTGGCCAGTTTTACAGGATGTTGGGAGGAGACTGCTGCCCACAATGAGGGGAGGCCCCAGGGACTCCTCAGGTGCTGGTAGGTGGAACCGATGATCAACATTCCCAACAGGAAGAGGAGGCGACTCCAATGTAGACGCTTTGGCCGGAGTAACCGCCTCTCCCGTGTTCCCATTCTGATCAATTTCCCCATGATGGCCAGTTATGCCTGGTTACAGAAGACCCCTCATTCTGTCCATGGAAAAATGGGGTCTGTTCTTGGATTCAGGTTGGTTATCAGTGAAGATTTCTCCATGAAGCCCAGCCAGGGGGTACCCACAAACCTACAGAGGGGGAGAAAAAAATGTTATTTGCCCCTAGAAGGAGAGCTACAATCCATCAAACCCTCACCTAGAAAAGAGTGATGACAATTCACGCAGGGGCCTTTGTGCTAGGAGGCAGTTGTTTGTGTTGGAGCAAAACTACCCCTACTACCTGTTTCAGAGAAAAATGCCCGGTCTTGGGAAAAAGTAGTAGAGGTCCTCTGTGCTGTGTAGGCATGCCCAGTTCCTGAGCTGGGTCTACCCAACCCTCTTTGGGATCCCTGCAAGAGATCAGCCAGCGCCCCTCAAGTCTAAGCCTGAGGTGCCAGGAGCTCAGTCATCTATAGTTGGTGCCCCAGGCCACAGAGCTCACCTGGTCAAAGGCAGGAGGAAGATAAGGAGATGTGATTTTTTAAAAAAAAGATTGTATTTATTTATTCATGTGAGGCACAGAGACAGAGAGAGGCAGAGACACAGGCAGAGGGAGAAGCAGGCTCCAAGCAGGGAGCCCAACATGGGACTCGATCCCGGGTCTCCAGGATCATGCCCTGGGCCGAAGGCAGGTGCTAAACCGCTGAGCCACCTGGGGATTCCCAGGAGATGTGATTTTAAGCTTTAGACAAAAACAGGCAGCAGTGGAAGGCAGTGCTAAGAACATCAAGACTCCTTGTGGGTGTTTTTTCAATTTTTGTTTTTAGACCGACTTAAAAAAATTCCACCATATCATCCAGAGAGGACAAAGTTAATGTCCCGATGCTTCCCAGACAGTTGGTGTGGTGGGAAGAACATGGAGGATGGAGTCTAAGGCCTGGATTTCCAGCCCTGCTGCTTTCCAGCTGTGCCACCCTGGGCAGACTGAACCTCACTGCCTCATCCGTGAAATAAGCAGGATAACATATGTGTTGATTATGCAAAGGTGATCCCTGGAAGGACATCTGGAGAAGGGAAACTGAGGTTAGGGACCCCAGGAAGACTTACTTTTCAGTATATCCTGATCTTCAGTTTAACTGTTTAACCTTTTTAACCTCTGCCATTTCATGAAAGTTTACATTTAAATTTAATTTATGTTAATAGAATAATGATAGTAACAGTAACACCTATGTCACAGGAATGTTAAGAGAGTAAAAAAACACATAAGGTCTATGAGAAGTTTTGTACAGAATCAAGTGCTACGTAAGGGTCAATTTTATATAAAATTTTAATTTTATGATTTAATATAAAGGTTTAATTTTATATTCTTCAAGAGGGGAAGAAGAACAGGAAAAGCTCTGAAAAAAATCTTCAATTTCTAAAGGCACTGAGGCCCAGCCAGCCCAAGTAAATATTTATTAAATCTCTATTTAATGAATACAGAATACTATAAAACAGTAACTAGAAATCATTGGTTTTGGGGCACCTGGGTGGCTCGGTGGCTGAGCATCTGTCTTCAGCTCAAGTCAGGTTATGATCCTGGGGTCCTGGGATCGAGTCCCGCAACAGGGTCCCTGCAGGGAACCTGCTTCTCCCTCTGCCTGTGTCTCTGCCTCTCTCTGTGTGACTCTCATGAATAAATAAATACAATCTTAAAAAAAAAAAAGAAATCATTGGTTTTGCTTTTAAACGAATACACTAGGCATAAGATAAGTAACTCATAGACTCTTAGGTCATTAAAAGTGGAAGAAATTACAGACACTGGTTAGTGCAACTCCCCATTTGAGACATGAAGAAACTGAGATGCAGAGAGCAGCTGTGACTCGCTCACCATGACACAGCTAGTGAGTGGCGGTGCAGGTGAGACTTCTAATGCCCCGATCTGAAGCTGGACAGCATGCCACACTGATTAGAGACACAAATGCATTTGTCTTAAAACGCAAAAAAGGAACAAGCAAAAGAAGAAGTACCGAATAAGTACATTTCCTTCTCTGTCCTTGATTCCTGTAACTGTCTTCCCATCATCTCCCTGCAGCTGTCCTGTCCCTCACCTTAAACTCAGCCCTGTAGCAAGCCCATTTGACTCTCCTAAAGAAACTTGGGAGGGTCTCTCTCTGGTGTGCCTGAATTGTATATGATACAGCACCCCAGCCGATCCCTCCTACCTAATCGCATCATTTACCTTCAAACCTGGACATCTGAGTGAGCGTCTTCTCGATTCTGGAAACTTGTCAGCATCCAGGGTCTCTAAGAGTAAGTCTGAAGCTGGACAGCAAGGAACACCCCATTCTCCTGACCCCAGCTCCTTGATGGAATCCTAATTCAAGGCAGGGTCGGGTGTGAAGGGCATCTCGGGGGAAGAATATCCGATCCCTGCTAATACCCGCCTCTAAGAAGCTTATCAGGGCATTGTACAAGTTCTGAGTCCCAGCACCCCTGCCAGAGCCTGAGAGGGTGGACCTGCCACCTGGGAAACAGATGGGCTCTCCGTGGCCCCCTGCAGTCAACAGGGAAACTGGGGAAACTTCTCTAACTTGGTTCTAAGCTCTAGGAATCAGAGATGGTGCAAGGTTCCCATGCTTCGAGGTGGGAGAGGAAAGATCTGGAAAGATTCTGAAGGCGCTCTGAGGGAACCAAGAGAAAGTGCCTGGGGCTTAAGAGATCAGAAGACCTCAGTTAACACCAGGCTCTGTTTGTTACTGTGTGATTCTAAATGTAATCTAAATGTAAATGTGGAGATAGTGTTACCACTCCTGCCTCTTGGTAGGGCGGACGTGAGAATCAAAATAAAAAATGAGGCAGTATCTATGTTCCATTTCACTGTGAAACCAAAACTGCTCTAAAAAATAAAGTTTATTTTAGAAGATGAAGAGGTGTGGGGGAAATACTTTAAACTTTGAAGCATTTGGCATGTGAAAAATATTTTATTAGGCCCAAGGGAAATCCTTGGTGGGGAGGCACTGATGGATCTCCCAAGTGCGAAGCGGGGACATCCCTAGATACCCAAGGAATTATGTCTCCAGCTCAGGGCCGAAGGTGTTGAAATGAAGGAAGGGTGAGGCAATGGGAACTCACGACCCTATCCATGGCCTGGAGCCCATTTTAATCCCCTTGCTCGGCCTGATACTTACTGACTGCTCCCTTCTCCCCTCTCTGTCTCCCCCAGGTACACAGATCCCATGCAGTTTTGATTGTTCTCATCTGAAATAGCAGGTAATCCCTCACAGCTTCACCCCTGCCCTACTTTATCCAGAGTGGCCTGTAGGGGTAAGAAGGTACTCAGCTCCCCCTGCTGAAGCACACAGGGGTGCCCACCCCCCTGTGGAAGCACGGAGAGGGGGGCTGACCTCTGCTGGTCACCACATCCTTGCCTTGAGGCTGTTGCAGGCCAAACCAGATTTAGTTACTTCCCTTCTCACCCCAGCTAAAAGCCTCAATCTGGCCCAAAAAGATGGGAATAAAAGGAGTACCTGGGTGGCTTGGTTGGTTAAGCACTGGATTCTTGATCTCAGAGTCATGAGTTCAAGACCCACATTGGACTTTAAAAAAAATAAAATCAAAAGATGGAAAAAGGAACCCAATTCATAAGGTGAAACTATGAGAGATCTTTTTTTTTTTTTTTTCTAGAATAATGCCTCTATTTCTTACCATGCTATTTGTCCCATACAGGAAATTCAGGAGAGGAGCACATTTCCAGAAAAGGAATTCCTTTTCTCATATATTTATAACTGTTACCAAGGAGTTCTTTCTAGCATCTAACCTAAATCTGACGTGCTGGGGTTGAGCCTGGTTCCTTCTCTCTTATTCTCACGGGGTTGTGGCACATTTTGAGATTCACCAGGCTGTAGGAGAGTCTGCTGCTCAACCAAGAGTGAAAGCATCTCACCCGTACTGGCAGGCTGAGTCCGGGCAAGTTCTTTAACCTCTCAACGGCTGTAAATCCCTCCTCCTGTACAGGGAGGGTGATAACGACACTACCTGCTTGGTAGGCCTGTTGTGAAGACAAAGCAAATGAATCTGTAAAATATCAACAGTGTCTGTACTCCACTTTAGGAGATCACAGCCTCCCGGAGGGACAGCAGTGACCACACTGCCACTGTGTACATGTTAGAGTGATCACCCAACTCGAGTCTGCATCTCTTTCCAGCAAGTGAGCTCCAGGAGGACAGGGGCCTTGCCTGTATATTCAGGACTGAATCCCCAGAGCCCAGAACAGTGTCTGGCACCCAACAAATATATTTGTTGATGGAATGAGAAGGTACAACCCAGGGAGGAGATGCTCAGAGATGGGGTGTCTGACCTCCACAGCCCGGTGGGAAGGTGGGGAGGAAATGCCCACTCAGAGAGATAAATGTTTATGGCCTTTCAGAAACAAAATGCTGGAGAAAACCCAGCACCACCAAGGTGGGAAAGTTGATCTACTTTGTTCTACGAAGTTGCCTCGTTTTATACTCTCCCCTGAACAGGGCAGCCAGCGCGACAGGTAGGGCAGTTCTTGTTCTGACCCTCGAAGAAATGTCACCGTGGGAGGGAGGCAGGGTTTAGAGGCTGCCCAGGTCAGCACGGAGGTCTTTCCCTCCCCTCTGCAGCTCAAGGCCTGTCCCGTGGATCTATTCGAACAGGAGGAAGACGGAATGAGATTTTTTTTTTTTTTTTTTTTTTTTGCCTGATATGGAGGGTTTGGGTCTGAGGCTGGTTTATTTCCGGGTTCACATCGGGAGTTGATAGTGATCCTACAGTCACAGAGTGGAAAGTAGACAAGATTTGGCCGGGGTTGCAACATCAAATGCCTTCAGAGCCTGGGTGAATAAAATCAAGTTAAATTGGCTCTATTCAAAGTCAGCGGAGAGTAATGAGGGCTATGTCCGGACAGAGAATGAATGATCCGTCACTAGTCACTCCAATGTAAAACAATTTAAAAATATTAAAAGGTAAACAACATGTGCTGAAATTGACCTACAGGTACTACCTTGCGACATCT